GTCAAGGTGACAGTGCTGAAGAGCCGCAGACAAAACTTAGTTTTTGAGAGGTTGAGAAGTTTATTTATTTATACATTAATTTGCGTATTTCAATATGCTATTAATTGCACATCGATGACGCTAAAGAGGGCATTTACAAAACTCAATGTAAACGGAAGAAAAAAATAATATGAAAGCATGTTGGGAATATCATTCCTTTTAGATTTGCTTGTTATAATTTTGGTTTGTTTAAAATATTGTTACGGGTTTAATTTGCGAAGCCTATGGCGTCTAGAACGGATCGAATTGTATCATTCTTGCATTTTCCACGCGCGTTGTCGTTTTCCATGGGTCCTGGGCCCTGGCACGCGCCTCAGGGGCGCCGCTACACTATCCCCTCTCCATGTGATTTCAGGCCTGCATCCTTTGCTAGGAGCATCCATACTGCTCCGCGACCACCCGAAATCGTTTTAAGGATCGTCAATTTCTCTTCGTATTTTGTAACCCATGCTCACCTGCGCACAACCAAAAAATTCGCATCAACATCACAGTTCATTCATAACACCAACTTCCAGCGCCTTAGCGCTTTCGGTAGATCGGGGCGCAAAGTCTTGTCACGTGACTGTCAATACAGATCTGGCTTTCGTTGCCACTGGTGACGTACCCAAACGAAAATCGCATGCCAGCACACACTATACCAGAGCACAACTTCACTACACACTTGCGCATTTTTGGAATTGACTAAAAAAAAAAAAAAAAGCCCGGCAATGACGCAATCCGGTAGATACTGTCAACGGTTTGTGGAAATTGACATTCATGATGCCAACCCCTGAATGGCCCAGATGACGGTCCAAAAAGCGTTCAAGCCCAGTCCGCACTTACGTGCCAAAAAAAAAACACACAAGAAAAAAAAAAAAACAGCCGGCACGGCGCGCGAGAGAGAGGGGGAAAGGTAGGCAGAGAAGATGCCAGATGCGTCGGGAAACTCGGCAAGAAGAGGGCGAGAGCGAAAAGTGGGGGAAGATAACGACGGACGAACAATTGACAAGTCTAAGTTCCGGGTGGACGTATGTTTTCAGTCGTTGTCAAAATATTTCACTGAATGTTCTGTTCTTCGAATTGGCTCAGAGAGAACAGCTCTGGGACCCGGTCCAGCTTTTTCCGAAAGCCAGTCACTAGCACCGGCCGTTACGTCTACGGGTCTACGAGGCAGGCTGCTATGTCGCCGTGATTTTTTTTTTCGAGTATGCATACAGTATAAGTGCTGCGATTGGATGAGTCGTTCAAGTCGCCCCTATGAAGAAGTCGGTGATCGCCAAAAACGCCGTCATATTCAGTCACGGCTCGAGGACCTTTTTCAAGGCCACAACGCTTCACACGTTGAATCGTACTTCTGCTCGGATCAAGGTGCCTGTGAGGATATTAATGACGCCTCCCAGAAGACAAGTGGCAGTGCACATAACGGCGCGTCAAGTCCAGTCTCCGATCAAGACCCTTCAGACGCCTCCGACGATCCCAATCAAGAACGATCAGCGGACGGGATCCCCCTTCTGAAACCATTCCCGTGCACGCAGCGAGAGTACCAGCTACGCGCAATGGGGCGGCTAAAACACCCGCGTCAGCGCATTAATCAGAAGCAGAACGAGGTAAGCGGTGGAAAATTCCGCGCTGCGTGACATTGTCCCTTGTTCGTTTATTTACGTGAATTTGTTCTTTTATATCGTTGAGGCTGGCACATCCAGGGACGTGTTTTGGAGGCGCTCCGTATTGTATCTCGTGTCGGAAAATGCTTAAATAAACAGTTCGTACCAAACCTGTGCTTTAGTTACTTCCTTCGTACTTGCATGATAGCAACTTGCCTTCGCAATGATACTAAAAAAATACTTTTTTTGTGTGTGTGTGTGGGGGGGGGGGGGGGGGGAGGACACAACGTATTCCCACGACGGCTAGGGAACGTAATTTGGAAAGGTTTCTCGACGTTCTGTCAACGTCGTTGGTAGTCCGGATGTCGTAAACACACGTACCATAAACGTCGAGGGAGGACGCAACGGCCTACTGAGACGTGCAAGTGACGTGCAACAAACGTCATTTGGAACGTCCCCTCGACCTTCTGTGCACCTTTCCTCGCGGACATTTAAAGGTTTCATCGACATCGAAGGAAGGTAACGTCCGGACCTTCGACGTCTTACGACGTCACGTTACAGACGTCTTCGACGTTCTTTCGACGTTTTCTTCACGTTTATGTGCTGCTTGGGCATCCTCACGCTTTGTTTGTTTTTACTTCTCATGGAGAAAAGGAAGGATGATGTCATGCGTTTCTCCTCCCGGTGTTGGCTCAATGGCGTCCACGTGATCACCGTAACGCGGATGCACCAGTTTGCGCTGCCCTGCGCGCTTATCCAACACCTCCTAGAAATAAGGCCGTAGCGCTCTTGTCGTGACGTCGCAAAGGAAGGCCATCGGGGGCGCGCGGCGAAGCGAAGGCAACGCGCGTAGATCGACCGTCCTAACGCGCTTTTCGTCACATACGCGTGTCTTAATGGCTGAAATGAAAGCTGCACATTCCAACGGCCCAAAGAAACACTTTATTACACGGGCAAAACATTACAATGCTAAATAATCGATGCGAAATGGCACGAGATACGCGTATAAGACGTCTATAGAAAACATGTGATTGTTTTAAGTAGAAAATATTGAGTCACGCACGTATTGCTGTAGGAATGCATGCTTTTTACATAAATATTTTGACAAGATGGTGAGATACGCAGTGATTGGACACAGCAATTCAGACCAGTTGAAAATCAGGTGTACGTAGCCAACGCGGTCACGGCTCGACAAGTGTCACGACCATGTAAGCGATGTTATCGCGTGCAGGCACTGAATTAAAATTAATGCAATTTCGATCGAATGACGATATGGGGCCGACAAATCAGCTTGCGACACTCTTATAATCACTCAAAAGAGCGAGCTGATTAAATCCCGTATTATTTAATCACAATATATGAACTTTTCCGTGTGGCAGGGGTACTAAACTTATTATTTACAGTCAACTAATCTACTTCTCCCTATGGGCTCGAGCTGCCTACGAACAAGATATAACCAATTTTGTATACAATAATACAATTACCTTAATACAGTTGAGATTCTAGTATAAACGCGATAAAGGCAACTACATAACTATAGTATAAATAAACACGTAAGCACAAACAACGCACTTTCAATAATCACACAAACTTGATAATTACCTTGCAGTAAAAACTAGAATATCACCACACATATTTACAAATGTCGACGCAATAGCAAACGGATCACGACGAAGAACAAAATTCCATTCTATCACGAGATTTAAAAAAGAAATTGACTCTAGCGCTTTACTTGCGTCTTAAATGACCAAGAAAGCCCGTAAATAAGTTGTTCCTCACCTTTCGATCGTATCCATCTGTCCCAAACGATTCATCACGAAAAAATTTGAACACAAACTTCTAGAAGTCTTTCCGTTGAGAAAGAGGTCATCGGCCAGTGTCATCGTTGATTAGTTGCCAGATACGTCGCTCAAACCGTAGCAGGACTTGTTTCGGGGATCCACGTAAATGCCGTAGTATCAAGTGAACACAAAGAAAAAACTACTCGAGTCTGCGATGACGACAAAAAGACGACGGGTAGGAGGATCAAAAGAACCACACACACACACACACGCGCGAGAGCAGCAGCAGCAGTGTGGGACGAGAGGCTTAACATTGTCGACCCGTCTCTTGCTCGTGGGCGCTCCCTCCCTGCGGCGATGAATGGATCTTTTTTCGGTTCCTTTTCCTTCTGAAATGTCTCACCGTACCTTTGCAGAAAGTCAGCAGCTCACACGCAACGTAAATTTACCTGAACCCGAGCCCGTGTGAGGGAAGAATATGTCGCGTTGGAAATTCTGAGCCACTTCATTCGAAAAGTGGGGGAGCTGCGGGACTGAGCGCAGTACCGCGGTTACGGGGATAGTCAAAAATATAAATTTGGTACTTTCAACCTTAATAGTGCGTTGTATATTACGTTTATATTATATATATAAAAAATGGTAGAAGACTGCGCCTTTAAAACTTGTATTAATGTCGGATAAACGCGCACTAACATTAATGCGCCGACTGCGCCGATACGCGTCGACAGCGGCATTTTCTCACGTAGTTGCGCCATGACCTTCCTCAACCTCAATATTAATAATAACAAGCGACTTATCTCGACGGCGTGCGATTTGTTTCCCATTCTTGCCGGCACTACGCCGGTAATGCACTTCAGGTCGTCGTCGTAACTGATCTCCATGACGTGGTTTGATTTTACGGAATTTTCGCCCCTCTGAACTAAGCTGGGTTCTCCACAGAGCAAAAACCCACATTGCGGAGGCCTCTGGGGCCTTGGCGATTCACTTTCTTGTGTTGCTCGTTTACCGACGCAATTCAATGAAGACGCCCGCTGCAACACAGGCCAGAAAATCTATCATGTCGTCTGCTACCAAAGCAAAGCGGAGTGGAACACTTCAAAAATGGCTTTCATCGTTGCAATACGACGCTGAGATGACAAGAACATCTTCATAATTAAATATCAAGAAGTTAGGTTGCTTAAAAAAATTAGTTACTTATAATCGAAAATCTAGCCTCGTCTGGAGTCTCCATGCATTAGTCCATAGCAACGTCCCTAGCAACGGTTTGTTTGGACCCAGACGCCAAGTTGTGACGTCATCACTTACGGGGTCAGTTAAGAATACACAAATAATATTCCACATTTCGCAAATCCGAGACGTAAATCTGTTTAGTAATTCTTTGTGAAATGAAATCTCATGAGAGCCTAAATCTTTCGGAATTGAGCGGAGTTGCACTTTAACACGATTTCAGTACTCGCAGGGTGTAAAAGGTGTATGCCTTTCTGTACACCCTTGAATGTTCAGAAATATGTAAAAATGGTGGAGGAAGAGTGTGAGCTGGAAAAACACCCTTTTAACACGAAAATGGTTGTTAAAATATTAGTGTGTACACAGGACAAACAGTCAGTGCTTTAGCTTTATTAAGCCTGGTTTAGTTTCAGGACTTGCCCTTAGGCTTCTAACTCTTCTTCGGTTTCTTCTTTTTTTGCATCAGTGTCATTGGGCACACCTGAATCTGTTGTCAAATGGCATTCTCCGTTTTGACATAATCCCTCATCACCATTGTTGTACTGCAAATGAGAGAGAGAAAAAAGGGTATTGAAATTTCAAATGTTCCTGAGATGTACACTCTAAGAAAAGGGTGTATTATTACACCCTTTGTCCCATATATACACCTAAAAATTTCAATTCGACATACAACTCTCTACAGTCGGATACACCACCCAATATATTACGAGGAGCTTGATAGCCGAGTGGTGCAACTTATTAAAATAGCTGATGTGCGTGTTACTGAATACAAAAAAAAAAAAAAAAAATAATCGGGGTTTTCTTGGCCCTCCTGCAAAAACTCGGTGTTTTGTTTGTGTGGTCTTTCATAGTTCTTTAGCTACTTAAAAATTTATATCCCACCGTTATCAATCCCCTCGCACAACTTGGGGCCGTCTGTTGGCCTATAGGGCGCTCTACAGCGTACTGAAGTTTTCAGGTGTATTATATATGACAAAGGGGTGTAAGGTGATACCCTTTTTTTAGAGTGTAATTTGAGGTAACGGAACAGTTTAAAGTATGATATCATATAATTTATTAAATCTACCGCTGAATATAGCCGTAAATGTACCTACTACATTTAACGTAACAAATTCTACTCTAAACTTAGAGCGGAAAAAATCTCCACGGGATCTGATGTACGCGACATCACGTGAAGTTGTATTTTCCGCGCAAAGTTTATCATAAACTTATATTTGAAATACTTCATACTGAAATTAATTAAAATATAATAAAATATAACTTTGTAACGTTGTGCTGTGGCGATTGAAAAAAAAAAAAAGATTGCGTGTTAAAGAACCCAAAAGAAAATCTGGCCTCGTAATAAAAAGATTTCTATTCCCCCTTGTGAGATTTCTCAGCTAAACGAAGGAAGAAATACAAACTATAGAAAGAGACAAGGAATATACACATTTACTCAAATCTCACAAGCGTGAATAACCAACCAGCTCAGCTCTGGGAAATCATGACTGTATTCCAACTACTCTGGCTCACATTTATTGAACTAATTTCTGTTATGTGGCATATGCACAGCGCTCAAACGAAGCGGTCAACTCATATTCTTCACGTTTTATTCGGAGACATCACCTTCATTAGCCGCAAACAGTTTTCTTTCGAAACTCCTGTGAACGGTATAGTAAAGAATCATGACGCGCAGAAATAGATTGAGAAGCTCCTTCATTTAACAATGTACCGTCATGTGAAGATATTCCTCCCTATATTTAGGGGGAACATTTACCTTCTGAGAGTACTATGAAAAAGGTCACGTGACGCCTCATGATTCTGCAGCGTCATATGACGTTACTGGACCATGTTAGATCATATTAACGGATGTCAGTTACACGCTACGTCACAGTATTAAGTGACAATATATTTTCTGCGTCTTTACCAACTTCAATTTCAGGACAGGGCAAGGTACAATAAGTTTGTTTGGGTTCAGGGGAAGAAGGCAAAGTTTAGAGCAAATACAATTTAATTGTGTTTTGTGATTTTGCAGAGTCACCGCCCATATCCGAGGTCATGGAACATAGCTGTTTAGAGTAGGAATTAATTTCATATAAATGTAGTACCATACCATCTTGAGCTGTATTCTTCTAAGGGAATCATAACACAAAAACTGAGAACCTTTGGCATAAACATGGCAGCATAGGAACTAAAGAAATAAAACCGCGTGTACACCTCTTGGTGTTTCATATTGCAGAGAGGCTACTGAAAGGAATTACACTACGGGAAAAGCATACATGTAAGACATATGACCAGAATGCGCGGGAGCCCGTATGTCTGGTAACAAGATCACATTTGCTACTCACAAAGCATCGTTCTCCGTTCCCGAAGAAAAATTTGTCCCATGATTTGGTCTCAGCGTTCCAGCAGTAATAGTCGCAGCCTTCTCTCTTTTCTTCCTATAAACATAATAAACCGAAGGAATGAATTTAAAGTAATATTCCCAAGATCTTGTTTACACAGGGTGCAACGCGTGCATGATTTACGAAATTAAATAATAGTTTGGGGACACATTTAAATTCATCAAGTACCTCAAAAACATTTTGACAGAAAGCGGCCTACATGGACGCGTTGATTTTGTTTATACTTCAGCACACGAAATGTTCTGAAATATGTACGGAAAAAATTGTTACCGAGGCGGGTCTCGTTCCGTTTTGGCAATCGTGGGCCGCAGCGGTTGCGACGAAGGCCAGAGACACTGCAGACAATGAAGCACACAAAATTCAATTCAAGTAAGGCCACGCTCAAAGCTTTTATCTAACACATACTTGTCTTCAGCGTATGTATCGCAACTAGTAATGTAACACTAAGCAAGCAAAAAGAATTACGAAGTGATGAAAATAATCCCTGGAGAAGGGGAACAAAGGGGGACAGAGGACAGACACAAATCTCCAAACACAGCTAGGTGACTGGTGCGCGACCGAAAAAAATCCGCCTGGTCCGGGTATCGAATCCGGGACCTCTCCATTACAAGTGGAGCGCTCTACCAACTGAGCTAACCAGGGGTTAGACGTCAGTAGAGCAAACGGGTTTTATCAGCTGCCACCAGTCGAACACCAACAAGGGTGAAGCTTGCAATTTAAGGTTATAATTGTAATGTTTTCGGTCGCACACCAGTCACCTAGCTGTGTTTGGAGATTTGTGTCTGTCCTCTGTCCCCTTTGTTCCCCTTCTCCAGGGATTATTTTCATCACTCTCGTCCAGCTCGCTTGCACCTTCGCATTTAATTGCATTATAATTATAACCTTAAATTGCAAGCTTCACCCTTGTTGGTGTTCGACTGGTGGCAGCTGATAAAACCCGTTTGCTCTACTGACGTCTAACCCCTGGTTAGCTCAGTTGGTAGAGCGCTCCACTTGCAATGGAGAGGTCCCGGGTTCGATACCCGGACCAGGCGGATTTTTTCGGTCGCGCACCAGTCACCTAGCTGTGTTTGGAAATTTGTGTCTGTCCTCTGTCCCCTTTGTTCCCCTTCTCCAGGGATTGTTTTCATCATTCTTGTCCAGCTCGCTCGCACCTTTGGATTTAATTGCATTATAATTACGAAGTGTTAGTTTATTGAGGGGCTCCAAGACACCAAAACAATAGTTCGGTTCTTTAGAAATAAACTTACAGTCTAATATTAAGGCCTCCGTTACTGCGAAGCTGATTCAAGTTCTCAGCAACTATGCTCACGCCTATTATAATTACGTTTATATCTCAAATATAGTTTTGATCAGGAACGCGATTCCAGAAATTTAATTTATGGTTAGACATTCAATTATAATAAAAAAGATGACAAGAACACAATTTTTGAACACGTTTTTTTTTTGTCATGCGTAACTGCACTGAAAAATTATCTACACTTGTCAAAAGCACAATGCATAAGTTCACTAAGCAAAGTTTTCTGCATGTCTTTTTTACCCAGGAGACTCGACATAAAATCAACCATTCTTGTAGCGAGTATGCAGGACCCTAGGCGTAGGCTGCTACATTTGATGGAGTTTCACGAAATATATTTTCAAAGTCTACTGCGAAATTATTTTTTCTCATGTTGGTCTGAACAAAAAATTAATATCTCAATTGTTTTGAAAGGTTAGTAGAAATGCGTATTGAAGCCCCTATATCGTTAAAACGTTTTGAAGGCATAAGCTCTCCGTCGTGGTTTGGTCTTAAAACTCCTATACTTTTATTTACCGCAATCGTGTGCAGTGCTGAGGCTATGTTTGGAGTTTGATATATCAAGTTGACGTAAACTTGCGAGAGCTTTTGTCTAAAATGCACGATATAAAATTTTTGATATTCTTATCAATAAAATAAATAAAAGTCTAATCTTTAATAAAAACAATCAATTTACGCGTGCATAGGTTGAAAATCTGCGCCTGGTGTCCTCCATTCTAGCTCAGAGATTGATATCGGTTGAAAGTGTCGGGTAAAGCAGGTAATAAGCACTGTTCATTTAATTACAGACCAATTTCATTATTCAGTTTTTCTTGCAAAATATTCGAGCATACTATTTATTATACCTTCGTTAATTTTCGTGATTGCAATTCATCATTTACATCATGTCAGCAAGGTTTCCGTAAAAGTTACTCGTGCGAGGCAAAAATTTGCACAGTAAACGTTTTCTGCTATAGACAGTGGTAATACATCGACTGCGTAGTTTCTTAGCGTTCATTCTTTTTTATTAAAAGCTATCTACATAAAGCATAGTAATCATCGACTGCGACATAATCGGGAGCATTCAGCATTTCCTATATAATACAACCCAATTCGTAACAGCTAACGACTTCGAGTCCCCAATTTCTCCGGTTGAGCCTGATCTCCCGCTATGCTCTGTTGTTGGCCCCCTGTTATTTCTCATTGACATGGATGATCTACCTGAATCTATCACTTCATTCATAAAGCTGCTTGCCACCCATCGTGTCATTTTTCGTATTATGTCCTCTAGTGCTGATACCTTCTTACTTCAATCTCCTCTAAACAAAACTTTCACTTGGTGTAGATCATGAAAAATGCCGCTTAATTATAAGTGTTAAACAATGCGAATTTGACACCGACTACTCAGAGCTATCGGTTGAAGAATATTGCAGATGTTTTACTAGAGGAGGTTCCATCATGTAAATACCTAGCAATAAATTTAACTGCACACCTCGTGCGAAACACACATAAATTTTATAATTAAAAGCTCCAATCAGATGCCTCGATATTTACGGCGTAACTTCGTTATGGCGTTTTCATCTTTAAATCCTCAACTCTTTAAAATTCTCCTTTATTTTAACCTTAAATACAGGTCATCAGTATGTGGTCCAGGCAGCTAATTTCTTACTAATGAATTATAAGCGGTAGAACGTCGCAGTGCGTGTTTGAAAATCTGTAAGTGCATGCTTATTAACTGTGTCATTAATCAAAACCTACTTAAATCTCCGTCACATTTTCCTAAATAGAAGTGTGACACAACTAGCTCTATCTCACAGAATTGACCATTATAGTCAGTCAATGAAAGCAGCTTTTTTTTTAAGCCGTCATAGTCGCCCTCTCGTACAAATCACCGACAAAAAGTAGATATTCCTCAGTGCCCTTATCCTTATCACGCTTTTTCATTCATCCATACCAAAAACCAGCGCTAAATGAAACGCCTGCCCACCTTTCTTTTTCTCTTTTAACCTACATTCGCTGTTCCTTTGTTGTACTTTGACAATTTCGCGTATTTATTATCTACTTTTCACACCTTGAGCAACGCCCTCTGCGCTTTGAACTTAAATAAATAAATAAATAAATGCATACAATAAGTTGAGCGTTATATCCACAAAAATAATGCCTGAGAGTCGAGGCCATCAGATACTCTAACAAAGTAGAGGGCTGAGATAATTGTCTAAATAATTAAAAAAACTCACCCAACACCAGCGTGATCTCAGTCAACCCCATAGCTTGTGTAGTGCTCTCAACGAGTATGTGAGTGCTTATGCCCCAAAAGGGACCATTATATACTCGCGAAAATTCCGGTGGGTTTTTAATTTGTTCTGCATTTTTCGTCCGAACCTCAGACCGTTTTAGCATTTGCACTGTTCTCTCGTGCTGGATTACGTAGTAATTCCTTTGTTCTAGACATTTTGAGCTTGATATATGAGTGTAAAGAAGCTGAAGGGACATTTGCACGATGACTCATCTACATGTTATATGCACTGTCACTACAGGTGTCTACGCTTTTTGGAAGAAATGCTCCGGCCTTTTACGTTTCGTTTCTATTTTAACCTAACCAGCGAATGATGAAAAAAGGTCGCCGTACTGTAGCTAATAAAATGTGATCTGCGGCTGTATTATCATAATTTGTCCTCACCGAAGACGAATATTCGAAGGTCGTCGATTCAAAATATATGTGTAGTATTTTTAAAGGTTTCCGTGTCATGATAAAATTGTAATATGACCCGCTGCACAGTGTCTTATTTATACAAACATATTTTAGTTGTTTCAGGACCGAGACATGGCGCTTTTTAAGCTAAATATTTATATGCCTGTTCGTATATTAAATGTTCGTTTTGAAAATGGTGTTCATTCTCGCCAGCTCACGTGACTGGTTTCCTTATATCCAAAAGTTTCCTTAGCGCCAGTTGTTGATTCAGTGCTTCCGTTAGTGCAGTGGTTCTCAAATGGGGTTCCGCGGACCCTTTGGGGTCGGCGAAGGCAATGTAGGGGTCCGCGAGGCCCTGCCTCATCAGTCAAGCCCGGTAGTAAAAGTTGCCTCTTCTCAGATTGAGAAGAAACATTCCAATTTTCGGGCAAGATCTCTCGTGTGAGTGTCAATGAGAGAAGTGTACTTCACACTAGCCCTTAGTTATATCCAAATATTAAATCATTATCAAAATTAACCCCTTCCTCCCGTCACGAACCGGGTCCTCCCGGTTCGTGACGGGAGGAAGAAAAAGGATCCACAAGGGGTCCGCAGAACAGCAATGGTTGAGAACCACTGCGTTAGTATATTCTTATTTTGATCCGATGATGTTAGGTCTAAGGTGTTGGTCTGTTTCCCTAACCGATGACGGTATTTAAGGCGGCATGAGTATTTGGTGATGGTTCATTCTAGATTCGAAGTGCGAGAAGAACAGCTGTCAACAGTCGACAGCCCCCTCCTAAGAGCTATTAAATGAACTGATCAGGCACTTAATCTTTCTTGAATAATTCAGATAATATTACTTATAAAGACCACTTACATCTTGAGCAATTGTGAATATTGTATGATATTAGTATTGATAATCAGCAATGAATATACATAATTAAGTGGCTTACACATATGATTTTGTGTTTACGTACTTTGGAGTGCTTAGGTGTATCAGCTGAAGGAAACAGTACTCGACTGAATTAAAAATTGAAAGATGATGAATATCGTATCAGATGTCCATAAAAGCGCGTTAGGCCTAGCATGCGATTGCGACTGTGCTGTTTTTCTACTCCCGATACTCTTCAGTATTCGGCAAGGTTCTGCAGATAAAATTATCTGTTCCAGCCCAACAGCCATGCTCGTATTTTTGTAAAAGAGCAAAGTCCATATTCTAAGTTTAAAAAAATTCTTCAATCTAGAAAATGCAATTGTGGGAAAATAAAAAGTGTCTCTTCTAGAAATTAAAAACCTAGCAATTTTAAAAAAAATAAAACGGTGTCTTTGCGCTTGCTATGCGATACTAAAGTAATAACTTTCGTGCATACTATATGTGTGTTACTTTGGGCAAGGATAAATTGATTACGCTCAAGCATTCTAGTGTTTAATATAATACTGTATTTCAAATACCCTTCGTAAATTATTCGAAACATTTTTATGAAGGCGAAGCGGTGAGTCATTCATGGTAAGGAGATATCTTATATTTGAAGAAACCATCTCAACTCACTTTATGGTCATATTGGACTGTATATAAAGGCCGCAGTCATTCTAGACTGCGAGCAATGAACAGGAAGGCAGTGCGCGGCGCTAATCGCTTTATATTTGATAAGCTTTCACACTACTTTTGCACCAAAGTTGAAAGCATATTAAATTCAAGTCAATTTCTTGCGAAGTCGAATAGCGCAGAATATCATGATTTACTTAGCGTGCAGAGCGGCTCTAGAAACATACATATGTGCATTTATTGCTCACTGAAAATATGCAAGAATTTGGGGAAATTTACGGTGCTCTTCGCTGTACAGTTCTTTTTTTCTCTCCATTCGTATCTGTTTCAATCAGTCGACAAACTATCACTTGAACGAGGCGCTTTCTTGAGTAATTCTCTTGATTAAATTATCCACATTTTATTATAATAAGCTGTGCGGGCCGAACCCGAGAACTACAAGTATTCGCATGACACCCTCAAATGTAGACCTCACATAAGCTTATAAATCTCGTCACTGAAATCGATTCAACAATAGAGCGGATGAACATCGGGAATGTTCAGGTCCGCATCGGTGACTGTCTTCAAACTATTGCTTCATCACCTCCAGCAAGCTTAAGTGTCAAATTGTTATTTTTATATGATTTTGTTTTTTTGTGTTGGTTACAGCTTGAAGACATTCATTAACTCAATCACGTATTCTTGATTTTTGTGCTGATGAACATCTGTTCGAATTGTAATATTGCCCAAACAAGGAGATTAAAAACGTTTACAGCGACCTTTATACAAGGGGTCCTATAGAGAGAAAATACCCTTCATTTTTAATAATGTTTCCGCTCCATTTAGCAGAGAAACTGGGTGCATAGGTAACGTGGCGTAAATTCCCCGCTTGATTTAGAGTGGAATTTCAATTCCTATACGGGTCACGTAACGTCACATTTCCTTCTAGATTTGGGAGGCAAATTTTATTGATGCATTTGTCAGATGTAGGGAAGCTACGTGACGTTAGTTTCTCCGCTAATTATGGCGGGGAATCTCAATTTGTGCATAGGTCTCATGACGTAACTTTTCCGGCTAAATTTAGGGGGCAACAGTATTGATGTATGTGTTACGTGTGGTAATGATTACGCTACGTTAATTTTCTCGCTAAATTTAGCGGGGACGCTAAGGGTGCTTAGGTCATGTGACGGTGATGCTCCCGCCAAATTCTCCGGGGAATCTGGATTGGTGTATATTGCCGCGCGCCAAGTAGGCAGCGCAGCCGTGGCCTAACGGCTATCGCGCTCTCCTCCCAAGCGAAGGGCCAGGGTTCGATTCCTGGCAGCGGCTACACATTTTTTTGACACTGTAATGTGATGTTCTGGTGAATTCGAGAACCGCCTTGCTGATTCGAGGCTAGAATGTTCTACGCGCCGAACCTTCTACGCCGAATGCTCCAGAAGCCCACGCGTGTACAAAAGCGGCTCCGCGTGGCAAGCCGGAGTCAGTTTCGCCCCAGCGTTCGACTCTGCTCTTTCGCCGACCTCGACGCCCGCGACGATCTGCGGTTATCTTTTGTTTTCTTTTAATTTTTGGGCGCAAGTTCACCCCCACTAAACGTTTCAGTTTCCCCAGTTATTCTTTGTTTCGCCGCCTGTTTATTCGTGACATTTTGGTGGAGGTGCGGGGTAACCGTATGCCCCTGCAGCGTACCCCTCTGAGGACCCGGAGTGCAAGTCCGACAGCAAACTCCCGACGACCCGACGAAGACTACCAAGACCCGATTGAGTCGCCGCATTCAAGGCCTACACCCGGAATTTGGACTCTTACAACCCAGGACCGAGCAGTCAGACAGGACGAAGATGAACAACCAGTCGCCGCAGACCTCGAACGCTTCATCCGTCGTCTTCATGCCTGTCGCCCCACGCGATCCGACGCCATTCTATGGTGAGGCCTATGAGGATGTGGAGGTTTGGCTACAGCATTACGAACGAGTGGCCCGCCATAACCAATGGACACCAGAGCAGTGCCTTCAGAATGTCTACTTCGCTCTGGTTCGAGAACCCCGAAGCGTCGATTTCGTCGTGGGAAGAGTTCCAGGCCGAGCTGCGACGCACCTTTGCCAACCAGCAGCGACGGCAGCGTGCCGAAGAACTTCTCCAAGCAAGACACCAAGGGCCAAACGAGAGCGTCCAAGCTTCGTCGAAGACGTTCTCCGCCTCATGAACCGCGCCGACCCAAACGCTCCCGAAGAGAAAAAGTTGCGGGTCCTAATGTGGGGCGTGAGAGAAATCATTTTAGGGGGCCTAGTGCGAAGCCCGCCTACCATTGTCCAAGGTTTCATCACTGAAGCCAACAACACCGAACGTGCCCTTCACGCAAGGGCCTCACACTACCAGAGACTTCCCGACTTCCCTGCCCTCTCGCCGTCCAGCTGCAGCATCCCTGACATCCGCGACACCATCCGGGACGTGGTCCGGAATGAAATCAAGAAGTTCCTGCCTGCTGGCCACCAGCCTGCTTCGCTGTCAATAACCGAAGTTGTCCGCGAGGAAGTTCAGCGGGCATTCCAACCTGAGGCTCCTGCCAGCGCAGCAGTACCCGAGGAGCCTTCCCTGACCAACGCCATGGTAGCTCGGAGACCGGCTCCAGCTGCCCGGGAGTATTCAACGCCATCTCGACGTGACCTACCAGAGCCGCAGACTTTCCGACGTCGGTAAGGGCAACCCCAGCTCGTCCCTACTGAACAACCGCCGCCTAGAAAGAATGTCTGGCGCACGGCCGATCGACGACCGCTGTGTTATCACTGCGGCGAGGCCGATCACGTCTACTGGAGGTGCCCGTACTGACAAATGGGCCTGCGAGGCTTCGCGCCGAGCGTCCCGCGACCTCGCCTTGGGGAGCGACCAAGAGACATCGAGGAGTACCCCCGACGACCCCTGTCCCCGGTGCCGACTCCACTACAACCTAAATGTTGTTATCGACGACTACGACGCATCGGCACTCGTGGACACCGGAGCAGACTACTCAGTCATGAGTGGGAGGCTCTCTCGCCACCTGCGAAAAGTTACGACGCCCTGGGGAGGACCACAAATTCGAACCGCCGGAGGACACCTTAC